CTCTCTCTCTCTCTCTCTCTCTCTCTCTCTCTCTCTCTCTCTCTCTCTCTCTCTCCGTCTTTCTCTCCTTTCTCATTTTTCTCACTCTCCGCCTCTGTCTAAATGTATGTAATTTACCTAAACCAAAATATAAAATTAAATAAAAAAAACTCTGAAAAGCTTTTTTTTATTTGCTAATTACCCGCCTTGTAATTACAATTAAAAAGAAACATTACTTTCTTCTCAACCATATCAAATCTTTAGAAAATTGATAATAAAATTAATAAAATATATATATTTTTTATATTTTTCTTCTTTTTTCAAATTTTTCCAAAAACAAATACAAAAAAAATCAATGATAATAAACCTGAACAACTGCAACACAAAATCAATACAAAAAAAAAAAAAAAAAAAAAAAAAAAATGAATTAATAAATGAAACAACTGGGCTGTGTGTATGACAATTTGTTTAAAAATTATAATTACGAAAAAAAAAAACAAAAACAATTCCACAACAAACATTTAATACATATATATATATATTATAATTAACTTCATTACACCTGTGATGCCTGATACCAAAAACAAAATAATAATGTATTTGAATGTTTAAACGTTATGAACATGATTTATCTACCTTTTTTTTTAAAAAACACAACTCTCTTTGTATGTATACGTAAATATATTTTTGATACTTCTCAAAAAACGTACACTACACACCACACCGTTCAATTGAAACGTAATAAAATTTCCACGTCACAAATATCACATTTATCACACAAAATTCTTACTCTGACACCACTACTTCTTTTCACTTAACACACACCCACTCACTATATTTAATTAATAATCACTGTACAACGAAAAAAACAAAAATAATAAAAAAAAAAAAAACGAAAAAATATGGTAAAATTACTATTAAACTTTTTACACCAAAACAATGTTTAAAACATCTCTTTGTCTCTCTCTCTCTCTCTCACTCTACTTGATACAGGATGTAAGTACAATTAATGTTTAAACAAGAGAATGTCACTTAGAAACTCTGTCTTAAATGTCTTCACCTGTCACCCGTACCCCGTCAACCCCCGTCACACCCACCGTTAATAAATAAGTATATGCGTTCTACTGTATCTTTATTTATATATGGCTTTGGATCCTTCAAATCCTAACATGATACATCTTCTGATTAGAATCTCTATAGAGACCTCTTTGAAATCAATTGAATTTATTGCTATTTTCTCTTGTTTATAGTTTTTTTTTTTTTTTCAATAAACACATACATCACTAAGTCACACACAAAAAAAAAAAAAAGAAAAAACAAGTCTCCAAAATTATTTTACTCTTATTCTTTTTTTTGTTTTTGCTTTCAATTTTTTTATAAACAAAGATATGAAATTTAGTTGCACTGTTCGATCAATTAATTATTTTTATTTCTCGTACATAATCCAAATATAAAAAAATAAGAGCAAATCAAGGGAAATACATTGCGAAGCGACACCTTCACATGACCAGTGATCCAAATTTGATCGTCTTTATCTCAAAAATTTTATTATTAATGTTAAAAAAGTAGCTCCGTTCTTTTGCTTGCTTTTCAGTACACAACAAGTCTAGTTGCTTCAAGTTCCCTACTGTTTTCATCATCAAATATTAAAAATTATCCATTTTTCGAAAGGATTTACTACCATTCATAAGAAACTTTGGTCCACTTAATGAACCAATTTTCACAATAATATATTAAAAATTACACCTTTTGAAGAAGATGAAGAATCTATTTTCGTAGCAACGTTCGCTCGTTAGTTGACAGGGAGTTTAAAAAATTACCCTTGCCGAACCAAATTTTTCATATCGATTTAGAATGTCGAAATACTCCACGTCGATTGTCCAAAATTTTTCCATATAAAGACAATTCGTTATATGGAGAGCAGTTGGAAAAGTGTTCGTCCTTGGGTAAAAGCGCGTCTGCGTAGCAAATTTCATCTCAAATTTTATCTCAAAAGTTGCGACTTATGGATAGAATATAAATTTACATGAACATATGTCGGACGAAGAGAATTTAAAATTCAAGACGACATAGTAACGTAAGTTATCAATAAATGCATTCATATAAAATTGGCAGAGAGATATCCTTTAAGGTTAAATATTAAAATTTTTCTTTAGCTTGCTGCGCAATTGTCTTCACGATCGTATCGCACTATTTGTAAATTTTGAAAAATATTTTGAACACACTTTTTGCAAAGCGACTTCGTATAGTAAGTCTGATCAAATGGAATCGGAATCACTGAAAAATTTATTTACTTGAGAATTTAAGTTTCATTTTGCAGAATTTTATCTGAAATATCTACTAAAGTGGATCCACTTTATTTCTATACTCCGTGAGAAACGGAACAAAAGTCAATTGAATTCAGAGAATTAGCTTCAGAACCTCACCCATTATTACGTTGCAGGATGTTTGCAAGCTATTGCTCTTAGTTTTCTATATTGCGTCGAAATTTGACATAGCGCCGATCTTAAGTGAACTTATATTTCTACGACATTTTTTTTTTTCGTTTTTTCGTTTATAACGCATCGGCAAACACGTCTGTTTTGTGAGAAACATAAAATATTTACACATAATATATAAAAATGAGCCTGAAAATTCAACTAAATTACTTATCTTTGTTTTAGTTAACTTAATTTTTAAATGTAATATTTAACAAATGGATTTTCAACGTTTTGATTTTTGCGAATTCTTGAGCTTTTTTATGTAGCTATGAAAAGAATTTCTAGAAAACTTATCTGCCTTTATTGAATTTTTGATTTATTTTAAGGGCTACACATAGACTATTGCGTACTTTCCTAGTTATAGAGTTTAGTAAACAAATCTTATTATCTCTCTTATTTCTCTTATTATTATTTGTACTTCTTTACTTACGCTTAAGTATTTATGAACTTTTTATTGAAAAAAAAAAAAAAAAAAAAATTAAAATTAAAATGAAAATCTATGCCTCTACACTTAAAATACTACGTATAAATATTTGCCTTTTTTAAATTTGATTAAGACCTAAGACATTTTATTTAATAATACAAAATATTATTGAATACTGAGAAGGAAAAATTAACTTAAATGCATTACATTAATGCATTTATTTCAGCAAAATTTTGTAACTACTTTAATATTCCTTATATTGAATGTAAAAAATTATTTTAATTAAAATCGTAAAATATTTTAATTGAAATTTAATATTTTTTTAATAAAAAAAAAAAAAAACCTCCTAAATATTTTATAATGAACGAAAGCCTGCCTCCTCTACCTACCGCCTTAAAATGAACTAATCATTCTGACGTCTGACGATTTTAAACTAACAGTTCAATCTTGTTACAATTCATAACAATTTTATGTCAAATGCAAACAAAAAAAATTAATTTTAGAACAACTATAGTGGATTGGATTGCGCAAACAATGAAAATATATTTTTAAAAGAATTGGGAGTTGGACAAGATCTATCATTAAATAATTTAGATCACTTCGCTTAATATCACTTTTCAATTCGCGACTTCTCAAAATGAAGCTTTAAATCGGAAATGGTTGGAAAATTGTTTTTCAGCGTTCGTTCTTCGGTCAAATCATGTCGGTGTACCAAATTGCATCAAAATATCTCAAAAAATTTCAAACTGTAGGTTGAATATGAAAAAGGAAAGCAGACAGACAGATGCACATACAAGCTTAAATCAATTGAGAAAGTGACGACGAGTCGACTGATATAATAAGAGTTGAGATCGACTGGTATAGCATTCGCATCAACCTAATCCCACAAGTTGTGTAGAGTGTAAGAAAATAGAACTAATATTTTTTATTTGTAGTTTTAACGCATACGTTTTCGATTGCTCTGTCTTTGGATTTAAATCCTCAACAATTTTATTCATCACCTGCGCCACAGACAAGATCAATAATTAGCTTCATAAATACATATATATAAAAGCGACAAATATTAAATACAAAGGCAAAGATAGTTATGTAAATTGTCATCAAATTCAATCACCTTCGGGTACTAGCGTGCAAATAATATTGCATGGTATAGCATGATATATATGCCAAATGGTGGAAATAAATGCCGTAGAGCATTGAAACGATTGCATTGATCATCGAGAATAATGTTTCGAGATCAAAGGGATTACTCAACGTGAAAGTTTCGTTTGTTTTCATTATTTGATCGCAATGTACGTGAAATATATATAAATTACGTATATTTTTAACTATTTGAAAACTCCGAAATAATTTAGTTGCCTCGAATTCTTTGTTGGAGTGTCGTCTACTAAAATTCTCTGACTCGTATATATTTGGGCGAAAATTTGAAACATGTCTTGACACGCCAGCTCGCATTTAAAATGCAGGATCGACTAGACCAGTCATGCCACAGCAATCCTTATATTCTCGAATTTCTAATAAACGTTGAAAAAGATACTCGACACATATCGACACATACTGGGCATATGTAGACTTAGTTAATCATTATCCAATTAAGGTGGCAGGTATGCAAGACTCGCCAGATTAGGCGAATAACAATCTTTTTTTTTTTTGTATTTTTGCTTTAAATAACATAATTATGTAAATTCCATTGGCTTTGAAAGTTGATTTTAAAAAGCGCCTCTTAAAAAACTCAGTTACTTTCTTTTTCCTTCTCCTTCTTTCTCCCACTTCTCTATGATATGAATTACAAAGTAGTTTTAAAAATTATCAAATACCTTCTGTGTGTTGAAATTATTGCCCTAATTCATAGTAATTGTAAGATTTTATATACAGAATGATTTTCATAGTTTTCATAATATTTTTTAACCAATTCATCATATAATTGATTTATTATTTTGCATACGCCTATGACTCTTATTAAGAAACGAAAATTTTTCAACTATTTTTCTATAGATAATTAATTATAACCAAAACTTTCTTCGTCCTAATTCTCTTTATTTTGTTTAATTAAAAGAAAAAAAAAAAAAAAAAAAAAAAAAAAATATATATATATATATAAAAAGATAAAAAAAACAAAAAAGTTATTTAAGAAACTCAAAGATATTAAAAACAGTAGACACTAACCAAATACATATATGGTAGATCAACTACTAAACTAAACTAAAAAGGACATTATATAGTTGAACATATTATTTTAAACAACAAACAATACCAATATACACTAACTTTTTTTATTTTTTTTTTTATTTTTTCATTTATTTATTTTTATTATTTTTTTTTCTTTCGTTTATTTGTTTGTCTATCACTTTTCGTTTTTTGAACAAAAAACTATTTTACAGTCAAGCTCAATCAACGTTGGCTTCCTGCGTTTATTTCGTGCAGCGCGTCTCATCAAATTGCTACGTCAGGGATACACGATACGAATTCTGTTATGGACATTTGTACAATCGTTTAAAGCACTTCCATATGTCTGTTTACTAATAGCAATGCTATTTTTTATTTATGCCATTATCGGCATGCAGGTAAGTCGTATTATCCTTCTACTTTTTCCTTTCTATATTAAAAAAAAAAAGAAGATCTTTTATATTGTTTTCATTTAGTTGTCAATATTTCTTTTTTTTTTTATTATTTTTTACTTTCTTTATATTTTATATAAATTTTTGTTACGAGAAGAACATTTTAAGTTTATTTTCACTTGCTTTCCAAATTTTTTCTATTACTTGTGCTCTCTTTTTTTCGTATTAAATAAAAATGAAATTATATATGGAGAGGATTTGTCTTTCTTCAAATGCAATCAAATTTATCTTTAGGGCTTAGATTAAAAAAATGTTTTTAATAGTTAGCTTTCAATTATTATAACTTTTTGTTTTATTTAATTTTTTTTTTTTTTTAGATATTCTTTAAAGTTTAGTGAATTATAAAAATTTTAGAGAAAATAAGAAAAATTAGTTTCATAAAGTCTCTTACAGAATACTAGACGGTTTTCTTAGGTGATTAGTTATTAATCTTCTTCTATATTATTTTCATAAGAATATATAAAAAAGTTTTTTATTAGTGGCGTCCATCATCAAGTTTGTTTTAATTAGGTCAATAATTGTGTCGTCCTTTCGACACATTGTCCACAGATCATGACCAGATCGTTTCATTGACCTCGCAACGCGTACTTTAATATGAATTTTTCATTACACGATTAACTGCTGCTCGATTGTGGCGATGCTTGCAATGGCCAAGCATAAAATGTCGTGATCGAATCGCAGTTTCCTCAACAAAAAAAAAAAAAAAAAAACAAGAAAATATGAATAATAAATAAAAATTATTAAAGCGTGTGCTCTTGTCTTATGAAGCGTTTGAGAGGTCCTACACGCTTTTAAAAAGCGTTCCGTGGAGTAGACTTTGATAAGTTGAAAGGACCAAAGGAATGCAGACAAAAGATCCTAGAATCGGGACATTGCTTCTCCATCCTCTTCTAAGAAAGGAAGATTGGGCGCCCTAATGAAAATACTCTTTATTTGATTCTTTAGCAATTTTTAATATTTAGCAACGTTAATAGAACGGCTTAAATATTTTCAACAGATTTCGATTTCTTTTCGCTCTAAATATTAAGTTTTTACAGGTATAATTTTATAATATATTTAGTGTCACAGACATATTAGTAATTTTCCATAGAAGATATCGTTAAACTCTCAAATTCCTTAAGAGCGGCCTCTAGCCGTTTTATAATATCGGTATATTTAATGGCACAAGTATGACCTTGGGAACAAGCAAGATCGTGTCTATTGCTTGAAACGATTTAAATCGGTTTGGCCGCAGGACGGCCGTACTTTCTACCTTTCGTTTCGTTAGCATACCTGATTAACGTAAAAGTCGACATAAAATTATTTTATGAATACGATGTTTGATAAGCGACGTGGATGGGGGACGTCGCATGGGTGTTTATTGTGGGATTTTTAAGTTTTTGAATTGAAAAGACAGTAGACATTGCCCTATTGATGAAACCTAGAATATTGATAGTATGTTTGTTTGTGAAAATAAAATGCTTAAGAAAACGTGTGCTTGTCAATGTGTTATGTCCCTGTGAACAAAAAAAAAAAACAGCTTGAGGTGTGAGTGAAATCAACCGATCAAGCTAAACACCTTTCAGTGATTTTTGCAATGAATTTCTCTAGAAACAACCATTCAACGATAGTCATTGGCTATCGATGTGACACTGCCTTTTCGACTCTTTTCGTCTCTCATATACCTTGTTAAATTTTATTCAAACCGAAATTCGAAATTATTTCCTCCTTAAGTTCAGAGTTTCTTTATTTTTTTAGAATACAGCATATAGCATGTATATCTAAACTTGACAAGTAAGTAAGGCAATGCAATATTGCGTCTTTGGCCGTGAGAATTTTAAAAGCAGGCGTGTATGATTAAGAAGAACCACTTTTCAAAGAGATATGACAATTATTTCGTGCAAGCCCACCGCATATTTGACCAAAGAAAAAAAAAGCAAGCCTGAACGGCATATCGTATCTGTCAGCAACTATTACTTAGCAAAGGCATTAGGTGATGCAATCATGTATAACGATATATCTCTATTCGCTTTCTCCCGAATAACTGAGAGACTTTTCAATATATATAAGAAATATAATAAGATTTTTATAAAATTAATATTCTTCGTAACCTTTTCTTTAAGATCAAAACTTTCAAGATTTTTGATTACAATTAAAATCTTTCTGAGCAAACTATTGCTTATATAATCATTAGTTGATGTAATCATGCATAGCGATAACTCTTTGTTCGCATTCTCTCGAATAAGTAAAAATTCGCATGGAATATTTTTCTTCAAAATAAAATGTATTTACATGCGATTTTTTCCATGAATGGTTTCTATGGATATAGCAATTTTTTTTTAAATATGTTAAAATATTAAAACAGAGAAAATTTTTTTTTTTTTTTCTGTTAAAGAAATTACGGATGCAATATGTAATATACAACATATTTAAAAAATTGAAGATGATAAAAAAAAATGCTTTTTGAAATCAAGGCAAATTATTTTTATTATTTTATTTTATTGTTTCTCTCGTGTGGCGAGACATTGCTCATGGTTGAAATTGCAAAAAGTTTCATTTTATAGTTCGACTTGCTTGTGAGGTGAAGAATTTTCGTGATCCCAAGTGCACCAGTTCAGTGCACAATTCTCCCTTTTTGTATCTCCTCACTAACTCTCAGTCACGGCTTCACTACTTATTACTTAAAACTTGCGCTATAAACGATATTTAACGATATCTTCTACATTTCTAACAGAAACTTAGATCTAGTTTTGTTTTTATATATATAAGCAAAAAAAAAAAAAAAAAAAAAACAAAAGCTACATTCTACTATTATTATTATTTATATGTTTTTATATATATTAATCAAAGTTCGTGTGTATATTTATTACTTGCAAAAACATTCAAACGATATCAATTAAAATTTGTAATCGGAATAAAATACGCAAAAAAAAAACCAAAAATAAAAATTTAATATACAAAAATTCGCATTAACTAATAAATGAAAAAAAACAAAAAAATAAATAATAATAATAATTAATGCGTAACGCAAATAAAATCGAAATAAAAATAACAAGGTTTTCGGCAATATAAAATACGATCCGGATACTCAACTAAACCGGCACAATAATTTTCAATCGTTCTCCGGAGGAATCATGCTGCTTTTTCGGTAAAAAACAATGTTGATTTTGACAAAGTATTTGCAAAACAAAGTAATTATTTTATTAAAACGTATATTTCGTATACAAATGAAAAAATAATAATAAATTCAATTTTAATTATTTAATATTTTATACACACCTATATATATATACATATATATAGATATATGTTTATGTATATATGTATATATATATATATATATATACAATGCTAGACACACATATACATTTACACATACAATTTTATATATACATATATATATATATATATATATATATATATATATATATTCGTATTCGCATACAAACATATTTAAATTACATTATTACTTAAAACAGTTGAATTCTGAAATAAAAGTTGTTTAATATACTCGTATTGTTAGTTGTTCGAGGTTTACGATTTGTCAGCAAATTATTCGTATTCGTACTCTGTAGTTAATTCGTGGAATATGTAACAAATGTATTTAGTTGCAGTTGATGTTTATTTATATTTATATTTATATTTATATTTATATTTATATATATATTTATATATATATATTTATATATATATTTATATATTTATATTTATATATATATTTATATATATATTGTTTTGTTTTTTACTTTTATTTTATTGTTATTTTTATTTATCTCAAAGTACTTATAAATACATTGTATTTGTGTTGAACTTCTACTGAATGCTCATTTCTAGTGATATTATTCTTTATATTTGCGCAAAAATTATTTTCAAGTAATTAATTTGAAAAAGGATTTCATCTTATTTCATTCAGAATTTACCCTAATCTTCTCCCAGTCTCCAAGTAAATTTGTAGCTAACAGACAAAATAGCTTTATTGTGAATATGTTTTTTTTTTTTTTTTTTTCTTTTTTTCTTATCAGAGATTTGAAAAGAAGCATCTGCTTTGAAGATATACAAAATACATAATATATCCTAACATTTAATGCATATTGCTGCTCTGTTATTTAGCCACAAAATTATTGGTGTATATATTACCTATTTATAAAAAAGAAAAAAAAAGTTAATAAAAAAAAATCCATTTTTAATATTTGAAGGTAATATTTAACTGTGCAAACACAGAGACACTATTAATAACGTTATTATCTTAGTTGAACATGGCAGATTATATAAGCATTGAGTGAAAATATTGAGTTGCGTTCATATTTTATAAAAAGTAATATAATCCCATTATTTATTTAGTTAATAATCCATTCAGTGTTTAGAAGCAGTATTTCTTAATTTCTTAAAGAAAATTACATATGAGTAGTAAATATCAAATTCAATCTATTGGATAATAAGGCGACTGAAAAATTGCTTTTCCGACTGATAAAAAAGCCTCAAACTCGCCCCATTTCAAAGCGAATGCATATAGATGAAGTGCTCAGTGAAACTATTCGCTCCATTTATTTATCACACATATTTTATTCAAATTTTTGAAGCAACGCTTGGATACCGTAATCATGTCTATGCATTATTGCTTTTTTACTTTACTTGCTATGACGGGATCTAAAATGAATGGTTATGTTTTCGTATAAACTCGCTGAGAATGGATCAAAGAACTGAAACGAAGAAAAAAAAAAAAAAAAAAACACTATTCAAGTTGTTGTCAATTCGCTCGATGCCACGGCATCATATAATCCGCTGCTTTCACAAATATATTAAATTATTCGGTGGAATGAATTCTGCTAAGTAAACGACTATTGCCTTTTCTTAATCATTAAAAAATTCGATATTTATGCTATAGTATCATTTCCAAATGACGAGATATTTGATATTTACCTTTAATCCTGGTGTTCGCTTTATTATTACTCAGAATTTGAATTCTGTCCACTTATTTTTCTTTGTTTTTCTTTTCTTTTTCTTTTCCTTTTCCTTTTCATTTCTTTTTTGTTTTTTTTTTTTTTTTGTTTCGTAAAGCTATTAAATTCATTTATCAGTTGTTTAACGTAGTAGTTGAAAAAAAATTTAAAGTTTGATATTAGAACGCTTTAAAGCATATTTATATATTTATAAACATAAATATATACATATAATTTCGATTATTGTTTATTTATTTAAAATGAAACAAATCAAAAATACACTGTACATATAGCAGCTCACAGTGTTAGCATATGCGCTTTACCTAAATTGAAATCAATTGAAACAAGAAATGCAAACGGAAAACGCAATCTTTTTAAATTAATTTTTTACTTATTAATTGGCAAGATTATTTTTGAAAGATGGTAGAGAGCATATCAATTACATCTAGATTGGATCTGTCTATCTAGCAACATGTCCGTCCATCCGTCCATCTATTAAATGTTAAAACTGTTCCGCGCCCAGACAGACAAATACAATTATTCGACACCTTTTAAGATCACAGAGTTTTCAATATATATTGGGAGTGAATATCTTGCAATATAGAGTAGACATCGATTGCGTGTCAGCGTTCAGCTTAGTAATGCGAAAATTTTTTACAATATTAAGATACGCGCTTCAGAGCGAGAACTCTTTGTCATTGCATTCTATTATTGCTGTGAGTTACTATATACATTTAGAGAAAACATTTTCTTCTTTTTTCGTTTTTTTCTTTTTCTACAAAAATTCCGTTTGGTTTAGTTATTATTAATTAATTCGTATTTTTTACATTGTTATTTCAATTTTAAGTTAATATTTTCACTGCTAATTTATACATATATAAAAAAAAAAAAAAAAAAAAAAAAGAAACAAAAAAAATTAAAGATAATCAATTAAATTACATTCGCCCGTGCGCGTATTGATGTATATATACATAGGTATTTGGGAATATCAAACTAAGTACAGTGGAAAATTCCATAACTAGACACAACAACTTCCAATCATTTATACAAGGCGTTATGCTCCTATTCAGGTATGTAATCACAATTCACAAATAAAATAAATCTTCTTAAAGAAAACAAAAAATAAAAAAAAAAAAAGGATATAATAAAAAAAAAAAAAAAAAAAAAAAAAAAAAAAATTTAAAATTTTAAAATTAGCAAAATAAGATAAATTATTAAAACAATTTCTTTTAGAAAACTCAGTTAGATTTTTAAGACATTCTTTAATTATCTCTATAAATAGTGAGAAAATTAGTTTTCTAAGTTAAATAGACAGACCACATTATTAGATGGTTTTAGTCAGGTAAATGAAATGAAAGAAGATTGCGAGATTGATCTTTTAGCTTTACATACATATATACATATATAAAACAATATTCGCCTTAGGACGAATCTTGGATACTCACCACCTAGGGTCTGATAAATTTCCTATATTTTTTAAATCAAATATAAAGGTTAGATCTTTTTTTTTTTTCTCCTCAAATAGCGGATATAGCCCTTGGCCGACTTTATTCAATTGTAGAGAAATTTTATGTATTTACTCCGGCATGCATTTACATTCCATATCCATATTTTACTCTTAAGGAATCACTAAATCAAAGGGAAAACTGTTGCAATCTGCCAGTGACATTGTAGCGATCTAACAATAATAAAAAATGATCACTATAGATGTGGAATTGGTGTTTATATCATGTATTCACATCAAACAACAAAACACTTGTATAATAATCGAGAGATACATTTTGCGTGAAAGGAGAAAGTTGCAGGAATTATGTATTTTTTTAACGACTGCTGTCGGCATTTGGCTAAATGCAATTCCACCGACCACCTTTCCCAAATCTAATTTACTTCGCTTATAAAGCGAAGGCTTCAACCCAGTACGCACGATGTTCTTGAACGGCTGCCTTTAATGGGAATCGAATTTAGTCAGCATTCACGGCTTTGTAGAAGTTCGTAGGTTGTAGGAAGATCAGGTTGTTTGGAAAATCTTTTCGTTTCCGTTTCTTTTGCTTAAAATGAAAGATGATTTTTTTGTTGTTAGCGGGCGAATTCGATAAATGTAAGCTGGCAGCGTTCTTATGAATTATTATTCGTCGGTTTGCATCATGGTTGATCACTTTATTTTGCTTTCATTCGCTTCAGGTGTCCTTGTAGAACATAATGCATCTTCAATATTGAAGTTATCGAAACGAAATTTTGTTATCGAACTTTTGTCAGTGTATTTTTGCCTCACGTGCTTTCACCTCTGCATAGGTGATAAGGCAAGAAACAAAAGATATTCCAAAACAAGCCATGTTGAAATATATAATAAAAATGTGAACCTGGCTGGCAGCAAAAAATGCGATTAAACTCACTATTGGAAAAACTCGATATGACTTTCCGAACAACTTAAGATTTGTTTTTTTTTTTTTTTTTTTGTTTGTAGTCTGCGGAGAGCTGAAATGTTAGCAAATTCGTTAAGGAACCATCCACTTTCACTTGACGCTAGCCATGAAGCATTCCTTAGTATATGAAAAGGTGCCCTGATAAGCCTTCGGTTGTCTGCTAGTCCCAGACATATATTTTGCAGTGCGGGCTGCGTTCCTAATGTACCCGTATCTCTATTAGATCAGGCATAGATTTGCAAGATTTTATCGGGATGAAATTATTGACCTTGCTTCCGGTCATGGCAATTAAATATCAAAATTAAAACGCTTAAGTTTATCCCTTTTTTTGCAATGACGGCTAACTTTATGCTCATCAAAGTTATACGCAAATCTATGAATCTTGCAGTTTTCGTTTGGTTGATGGTGGTGGGTACTAGATTTGATTTATATATAAATTCAATATCTAGAAATTTCAACTACTTACTGTATTAGTACTTAAGTTGTTATTATTATTCTTAATAATTTGTTATTTATTTCTTTCTTATTTACCATACAAAACATAACATGATAAAAAACACCGACACAAATACATAAACCCAATTTGTTTTTTTCTTTTCCTTTTCCTTTTCTTTTCACTTTTTATTTTTATGATTTTCTTAAAAAAATTCCTCTTTTTTTTCGTATAATTTGTAATTGTTGGTTTAAAAACAATAAAAAAAAAAGCTTGCATTGTGTTAAAAACTTGATATTTGTGGTTGACAAAAAGTAATTGTGCACTTGAGTTATCATTATATATTAGTTTTTCAAAAGTTTTTGAAAATATAGTTTAAAAAATTTTATGAATAAATTTTAGAAATTTAATTTTTTTTTTTTTTTATCTAAAAATGTTGCAGTAAAATTATATGCATATAGTATAGAAGTTCAATTAGAAATTTGCGTAATAAGAGGAATTCTTTTCATTTCAATTCTTCTTGTGATGATTTTAGTTCTGAAATGTACCGTTGCTTATTGACTTTTAGCCATTAAGTGTTTTTTTTTCTTGTTTAAATGACCAGTCACTCACAAACATGTCCCCTATCCGTCTAATACGGCCAAAAAGAAAAAGAAGTGAAGAAGGGAAGGGAATTATATAGAGAAGTAGGCTCGAAGTAGGTCGTAGTCTAGTAAGTCTGTGTGACCAATTTTGAATATGTCATGTTTTAGACCGATTAATTACTCACCATGGCCACGCGACCAAAGTAGACTCTACCGCACTGAAATTTGAAACCGCGAGTACTGACTTGTTAGCCAATATTCTCGGGGCCGAGAAATCTATTATCTACAAATTTCATTCTTGGCCTCCCAATAACCGACTAAGTGAACTTAAAAAAAGACATGAATTTTACTATTTCTTATACGGAACTCAGGTCGTCGAATGAATGGGTGGATTGGGTTAATTAAACGAACAATGCAATGTTATCAGCGCATAATTTAACAGGGATTAATAAGAAATTGATAGCTACCTTCTTTCTAATTATAAAAGGAAACGGTGTTCATTCATAACTGGCGTTCGCCAGTAATAGTCAATATTTGGAATAGCTATCCCTAATAAAATAAAACTAACTTAACTAAGATCAACCTCATGAACTAATTTCTATTGTAATATTTTCGGTCTACGGCTACTTCTTTCTTCTTTTTCTCTTTCACTGAAATATAGGGCCACCAAAGTTATTCATTAAAGTGAAATTTTTCAGTTGGATAAACTTCGAAAGATTATTCCGCTGCATTAGTTATTCACTTGCGGTCCTGCGCCATATGTGGTACAAAGTTATATGAAGTTTGTGTGGGCGTATGCACAATGGCTTGAGATAGACTCCTCTGTTGTAATCAGAAGTATTTTCTGAATAGATACAAGTTTGTATGTCTGTCCGTCTATTCATTTATTTTTTACAGGTTGCTATTGAAAATTATCCGGCTCAGACTACTTTTTCGAATATTGCTCATCGAATACAGAATTTAATGGCACGTCGTCACCTACTGTAGTGTAAAGGTAGTAGTGTAAATATATATGTTATACCGTACCATAAGATGTACGCAATGAACTTTCCTTCACAATATATTCGCAAAATTTATCTATCATTACTTGAGATTCATAGCATTTTCCAAATAAGCCGAAGAATGAATAAAAGTTCTGCTCGTATATGACACTGATAGTGATTTCAGATATTTTTCTTGTTCATTACAACTTTGAATATTTTTACTTGAACTCTTCTTTGTTGAGTAATTACCAGGGAGAAAAAATTGCCGAAGAAATGCTTCTACGTTTTTCTAAAGCCATCTGTTGGCAATGTCGTACTTTCTGCTTTTATCGGTGGCCTCGTAAAACTATCGACAGATATTCCAGAGGTGCTTCACTCCTTCTGCCTTATTTTTCTTCATAGTACAATCATAATATCGTACAGTACAATACAGTTAGGTTCCAAACTAATAGATACCATAACAAAATCTTGATTTGTTTCAATCTTGTATTGATTCTAATGTACATATGGTATTCCAAGGTAGTTCACGTACCAGCTCCTTATTTATTGCTTGTATTGCTTGAAAAATTCTATCGCCCACCACATTCCCGGCATGGTTCAAATTGTTGCCTCGCCTTATTCATTCAATTATTATCGGAAGAGAGTCTTCCATTCTCTATATCATTTAAGAGAATCCAACGATTGATGATCTGAATACCTTTACAACTATTTCTTCTTCTCTGCAATAAACTAATTAAAGATTAGCTTAGTAAGCGGATTACCAATAGGGCATCCATTGCGGCCACTCCTTATCTTTTCCATATTTCTTAAGCTTTTCGTTAATAGCCGCCGAATCAATTTATTTGATTCTTGATCTTAATCTGCCCAACATCAAAACGAAGAATTTCTTGACAAGTTTTTCAGATTGTAATAAGGATTTTATGACTACTTCGTTTTTGTTACATATATAAATTTGTAAACGTATAAAGTCATCGTAAATTTCTCCAAATTTAATAGACCTGTGGTGGGTATAATAAATTGAGCATCAGGGCAAACTTTACATTTAGGCTAAGTGCAGCGAGACATACAGGTTGGTACGGCATTACAAGGGGAGGCTTTCTGTCACATTGTCGAGTAGTTGTCGTTTGTGCGAATTTCATTTGTCCGACACGTCTCACGTTTCGATGCTTAGAATATCCCAAGGCAGTCGACTTTATGTCAACCTCTAAGAGGACGTTTAACGCTCAATACCCTACCTGACATGTACTTCCTCGCCTTCAAAATCTCAAATGGGAATATTTGTTCTCGTAGAGGATAGATTCTGTACTAGTTAGTTATCTTCGGTCCGTATTTTTGGCAAACTGTTCACTTGTCGAAGTCTTGTCACAAAATACTATATCACGCGTTAGGAAAACGTGATCTCTGAAAGCTGGGGTATAATAATGGTCACTCTACAGATTGAAGGAAACTTATGAAAGGGAAGACACAAAAATCAGTTTCGACTTGTTCGTAGAATTCTGCAGCTTCTAGTGTACACGCACTGTCATATCTTTGATCAGCAATTCCAGCTCGTATCACTGAAAAGTCCTAAGTAAAATAATTAGTAGCAGTTTGCCTTCTTAACTCTGCGCATTTTGAATTGATTGCGAGCGTACATCAGATTTTGATGCTTTTGCTACTAGAGGGCTGCTAGTAAGCCTAGGTTCAAACTAAGTTTGTGATCTTTTTCATATCCATGTCATAATAGCATCGTATATTGTGGGCATGGGTAACCTTCGGCCCGCTACTCCTATAATTTCAAATATTTCAATTTGCTCGCATATAGCAATGCGTAGTGATATGAAAATGAAAATGGGCCCGTCAGCGGAAAAAGTTACCCTTGTCCAGTATATTCGGAAGGTAGAATTTCCTACATTAGCAGTTACGGAAATCATTTAATCCAAAGGAGGAAAACTCATTTTGCACACATGAAATTTTCCCGTCAGTTCCTTATCCATTCGATTCATCTCAACCAACCAATGTTGCAACAGAGAACTAGCACTCAAAACTCCTTCTACGATGTTTACCAATCTTACTAGTTACTCACAAAA